GGGGTCATTAGTTAGCTGGTCCTGGTCTGGTTTTGCTGCTTTTCTGGGCCTGGAACTAAAATAAAGCTGAGGCCTAGATGTTATCTCTAGGGAGCAAAGGTTAGGGTGTCTAAACCACATGACTAGCTATAGGGAAGGTCACTAACTGAGCATCAGTCCAAAAACTAAATTATCTTAGTAAACTCAGAAAGTGTCAAGCTCACAACAGATGCATAATCACTACATTTACATTTGCTAATGGATGTATATTGATAAAGGAGCCACTTCCAATGAGCATAAGCTCATTTCCTTTTCTAGTTGGGAAGTTGATGTGAATTGGAAGGTTGCTTGGTGAGCATTGACTCAAAACAAGGAAAACATACACATTTGAATGGGACACATTACCTAGGCACCTAGAGAGTCCCATGAAATGTGCCTGCCCTATAAGATGAAACACCTTTCTGGAGACCCGTTGCTCCCATCCCCCAAACCCCATGTGCCTCTCTCTCGAACGGTACGAGGTGTACTGTAATAATACTTGCTTCTCTGAACCTAGTTTCTTTGATAACTGTCCAGTGTACATCTAGTTATAGTACTTTTGCTCATCAAGCCACACTCTACTGGGCATGGGACATACTCTCTTTCCTCACACAATAGTCAACTTTCACTGACTCCACAAGGTATTCCCTGGTGTTGGAAAATGGGAGACTAGAGTTCGGAAAGAGGTAGGCTGGCTATGTGGATTTGGTCACCCCTGGGTAGAAGAACTAAACCTATGGTAAGTGGTAAAATTTATGAAGAAGCGAATAGTTAAAAATAAGAAAGAGAAGAAAAAGGAGGGTGACAGCCACATGCAAAAGAATGAAGATGGACCTTAGCTACACCATTTATACAACTTAACTAAAAATGGATTTAAACATATATAAACTATAAAACTATAAAAGTCTTAAAAGAAAACAGGGGGGAAACTTCATGACATTGGATTTGGAGATAATTTCTTGGACATAACAAACACAAAGTTCGAAAAAGTAAAAACAGATAAATTGGACTACAACAAAATTTAAAACTTCTGTGCATCAAAAGACATCATCAGCCCCGCTGGGCGTGGCTCAGCGATTGAGCGTCAACCTAGGATCCAGGCGATAAGGGTTCGATTCCCGGTCGGGGCATATGCCCGGGTTGTGGGCTCGATCAATGGATCTCTCATCATTGATGTTTCTATCTCTCTCTCTCTCTCCCTCTCCTTTCCTCTCTCTGAAATCAATAAAGATATATTTTTTAAAAAATAAAATAAATTTAAAAAATAAAAACAAGCAAACAAAACAAAAAACAAAACAAAAGACATCATCAACAGAGTGAAAAGGCAACATATGGAATAGGAGAAATTATTTGCAAATCATTTATCTGATAAAAGGCTAATACCTAGAATATATAAAGAACTTTTACAACTCAACAACAACAAAAATCAGACAACCCAAATAAAAAATGGGCAAAGTTCTTGAGTAGATACTTCTCCAAAGAAGATATACAGATGGCCAACAAGCACAAAAAATGGTGCTCAACATCACTAATCATTAGGGGAATGCAAATCACAGCCATAATGAGATACCACCTCATGCTCATTAAGATGGCTATTGCTTAAAAAAGAATGAAAAAGAAGAGATAGGAAGGCAGATAGAAAGGGGGAGAGAGGGAGGGAGGGAGGAAGGAAGGAAAGAAGGAAAGAAAAGTACCAAGGGTTAGTAAGGATGAAATTGGAACCCTTGTGTCTGCTGGTGGGAATATAAAATGGTGCAGTCACTATGGAAAATGGTATGGCAGTTCCCCCCAAAATTAATTGCTGGATCATTGCTACAGCAATTAAGTTGTATAAATGGTGTAGCAATGATCCAGCAATTCCAGCAATTCCATTTCTGGGTATATACTCAAAAGATGTGAAAGCAGGAACTTGAGCAGATATTTGTATACCCATGTTTTTAACCACATTATTCACAATAGCTGAAAGAGAGAAGCAACCCAACTATTCATCAATGGATGAATGAATAAACAAAATGTGGTATCTACAAAGAACCTTAAAACGGAAAGGAAATGCTGACATGCTACAACATGGATGAACCTTGAGGGTTCTCCAGAGAAGCAGAATCAACAGGATATATATCCTGAGATTTTTTTTTTTTTAATCCTCACCCGAGGGTATTTTTTCCATTGCTTTTCAGGGGGGG